AAAGGTGGGAGGAAATCAATTTATCTGGCAACAATAACAGAAATGCTTTAAAATTTTTAAAGTTCCATAATGAGGAATAAAAGCTTAAAAGTTAAAATAAATGGCATAACTAAGGAGAACCGAAAATCTAAGAACACTGACATTTTGCTGGTGATTCATTCTGCAAGACAAAGACAGCCACAAATCACAAATTTCAATAGTTACCAAGCCCTGCATGACTTCACTGTAGCTTTCAAATTCAGAAGCTGAATGATCTCTTAGGTCATCTCACCCACTCTCCTTTTCAGTTCGGGATTGCTCCCAGTGGTATTTTGCACATTTTTACTCAGAACAGAAAACCAGTAAAAGATGTAAGGTGCTATTAAAGTGAGTGAGGAATCAGGGGAACTTATCAAGCACTATACAGTAATAAAATATGGATAATTAAGATGCTATCAGATTACATTTTATATGCATATTTACAACCCACTGGAGGTTACTAAAGTATCTGTAAACAAATATAACTGCTGATTACATGCCTTACAATTTCACAGTTCTGTTTAATGTTACAGTTTAGCTGTACATTGACTAGCACTTGCTTAAACACAACTATAATGGTAAACCATGGGTGAAGATTCACTCCACTAAAACCACTTGCTCCAGTAATTGTACTCTAGCAATCAGGACAAATCCCAAAAATCACATCTTCTCAATTTCACTGTTTTCCTCCTTTTGACACTGCCAAACTCTTTCTTGATATAGATCTTAATCTACAATCTTGACCTTAACTGCCATGGTGTAAAGCTTGTGTCCATTTATTCCTTAGTTCTTTTTCAGCCACTTTAAGAGGTTCTCCTCTCATAGCCTGTGAAAATGCCAGACAGAGCCTACTCCAGTCATTCAGCCTTTTGAATGACTCCTCACATATCCCCTAATTTGGATACTTACTCTACTTTACCCTTGCAGAGAAATCAATTCCTCCATTTTTTCCTTCTTCATACTGCTGATTATCACCAGATAATCAAAAATCTCATTATCTCCCAACCCATACATTCCTAAAACACACATTAATCTCTCCACATCTATACCAAACATCCTATAACTTCCAAGGTTTCCCTCTCTCCTCTGAAACTTGCAATACTGGAAAAACCTCACAGTTGTAAAGGTTCTATTTGCTTCTTTTACACTCTGCCCATGTGAGGGCTGATGATTTCCCTTATCAATATATCTGTTGCTCTCACGTAGCATTCTCTTCCAGACAAGCTTTTCTAGCCACTGACATTATCTAGAAGTTTTGTAGAGGTGTACCAGGAATGTGAAAGTTTAGGAAGTATTTGAAGGCCAAAAATGTGTGATTATCTTTGCACATTGCTCTGAGGGCACCATTCAAATTGTTTGCTGAGTCCTATTTCTGTGTTTTCTACAAAAATTAAAAGAGCAGCTTAAGTATGATCAAAGACTTGAAATAGCCTAGACATTTATTTTGCTCATGGGTTTGAAGCCATGCATATGTACGCCTGACTAGCATTAAAAACAAAAAGGACTGCATCCTATGACACTTATTAATAACAGGATGAATAAACTTAATTACAGCTGCACAATTTTACAGCAAGTGCTCAGACAGACAAATGCAACCAACAAAATTAAAAGTTCCCCATTCACTGGAGAACAGCAATGGATGAAATCAATCTATTTTTTTAAACTACAAACTGGAATCACAAAAACTGTATCTTTTGGATTTTGCTTTCTATAAATGGAACTGTAAGTCACATTTAAAAAATGGAAAGTCAAACAGTCCACTTAAAAATACAAGTGACTATCTATGAGCTTCTTGCTATTTAGAATATTTAAAATTCAAAAATAAAACAATTCAAATATTTCAGAAAGAATTCAGTACAGAAAATTGATTACATAAAAGTTTCCAATTAATTGTGTTTAGAGACAGGAAGATCATTTTCATGATAATGCTATGTTAAAAAAAAGCATAAATTAATCTAACAGTTCAAATTCCATCCTTCCTATCAGACCATCAGAATTATACCTTGTGCTGCAGTTTACCCATCAGAAGCCAAGATGCAACACAACTTACTTTTTATTTATGCTCTAATCTTGAGCTGCATTACTTAGTGCCCCCAAAGTAAGTGCTGCTTTTCACAAACAAGTGAGGAGTCCAGGCTTGCCCTGTAAAATAGAGATGCAGCCAGGGAACACACAATACAATTCCTCTCTGTACTCCTTCACTGCACAGCATACCTAACTAGAGCTGGAGGTGTCAGACACTCCTAGGGGCCTACCTTTAGAGAGCCAGGTTAGAAAAAGATTTTATCAGTTGTTTGCAACACCCAAAATCTTTATGCAGGCTCTGCTTCTAGGGAAGTGATACTAGCATATTTGCAAACTAATTTGTCGTAACAGGCCCGTTGAAAAGGATGTGGCTTACAGGCATACCTGCCTATATTTCTAAATGGATTAGAAAATAATTAATGTTTAAAAAGCTTCAGGCATTTTGTTTAATAAAGGGATTAAACATAATGCCAAACAAACCTTTTTCTCATCTGTTTATTTGACATACATGTTGTTACATGTTTTACAGTTACTGAAGCACAGTTAACTAAACCTGAGATAACTGCAAGGCTGCCAAGCACAGATCTATTGTTCACTGCTTAGAAGACAGGTAACTAAAACAGCTTAATTTATTAGAAAAGATCAGGGAACATCAGTGACAGTGGTTATTTACCTAGTCTGAAAGTAGAGTCCCTGACCAGAAAGAACTAAAAAAACTTCCAGGCTATACTACAAAACCAAGGTTACATATGTAATTAACTGGATGTTCCCAAACTGCCTTGATTCCTAAACATTCCTGATTTTAACAACAAAAAAAACCCACAAAAAACAAACAACCAAAACAAAAACAAACAAACAAAAACCTCAAAACCAAACCAAACAAAAAATACCCCACCCAAACATCCATGTGCCTGTCATGTACAGGTGTGCCCCCATGAAAACAAACAAACAAAAACTCCCAAACAAACAAAACTCAACAACATAAAAAATAAAATAAAACAAACAAAAAAAGCCCCCACAAAACCCCTATCAAAGTACACACAGGAGAATGGAGCAGGTCAGAGGATTAGTACTGAAAGTTCACATTTAAAGTTGCATTCTATACAGAAATTTGCATAAGCAGGAAAAAACAAAGCCTAGAAAAGGCATGGCAAGAGCTCCAGGGCTCTGAAAAGTATTAGAAATAAGAGTTGCAGGGAATGAGTTAGGGAAAATACAAGTGTCAGCAAGAGAAAGACAAGGGTAGAGCAGAGTTGTTCAGATGAACCGATGCAGTTGAAAACTTCTTACCAACCCTGTTGTGATAAAAACTTACTAATATGTTACAGTATCCTACTGTCTGACAACTCAAGTACCTATCTGTTGTGTTATCTCCCAGTGGAAGAACCATTGGAAGAAAAGCACTTTAATCTCCCACAGACAGTAGAAGTTAGTCAAGAAACTCAAAGAGGAACATCACAGTAAACAGGGGAGCTGAAGAAATTAGTTCAGACAAAACAACAGAAACAGTAGCTTGAAGAAGAGATCTGTAAATCCCAGTGACAGAAATGCAATTTGTGATCAAGACAGCTGGTAAAGGTCATTCAAGGACAGAGCCCAACAGGAAAAGAGAAGGACCACAAAGAAATTTTCATCCTCAGAGTTGCTAAGCAAGGGGGAAAAAGAGAGGAAGAGAAAATAGAAACAGTGAACAAACATGATCATTAGTCATTTTTTTCAAAGATCCTGTTTTTCTTTTTTTGACTGACATGTTTTTTGAAAGCCTCATCTGATAGAAAGCCCTACATGTCATGTATGTTAATCCTTCAGAAGACTTTAGCTGAACTTTTGCAGATATTTTGAAAATGATATTCACATTTAAATGGGTCACACAAAACATGGTCAGATTCCTTTTCTCTAACAAAAAAGAAGACTGATATAGCAACTTAATCACACTCTAATATTATTTACACAGGAAAGAAACTTGTCAGAAGAATGAAATTACCAGACAACACTATCATGAAACCAGAAAGCAGAAAGCTAGCAGTAGGTGTGTTTAGACTAACAAAAAAGACATGGAAGTGAAACTGTTGTAAATTCACACTGAACAGAACTGATTTGCAAAAGTGCCAATCTCCTATGCTGGTATTCTAAATAAAGCATGTAAGACTTAAAGAGCCGCTCATGCTCAGAAAATGCAACAGACTACTGCAGGAATTGTTCTGCCTACATTGTGCAAGATGTCAGACCTGATGACCATAATGACTGCTCTATTATAATGTAAAATACACAAACATCCTGCCTCTGGCATTCCTCTTATGCCACTGTTACACTTATAAACATTCCATATGATAAAGTGAACAAGCTACACATCTTGTATTAGCCTATATGTATATTAAAAATGCAACTTCTTTTCCCAGAAACAAACCAAGAACACAACATCTGCCTACTTTTACATTTTCACTATTGCATTTGCTATATGGATTGAATCACATATCCACACTCCACACATTTTATTCCACTAAATACTGTAGTAGTTAGAAAGTTAAAGATGGGATAAGGAAATATACTGTCCATGAAACTAATACCAAAATCATAATTCAGACTTCAGAGTTTTTATTTGTAGGATAAATATGTAATATGAAAGGACATGATTTGCCCTATACTTTGTGGAAGCAATGTATTATCTTCACCAGAGAACGGAACAAATAAAGTTTGTGCAATAAGACTGAGCATAAGTACCCTTGACAGAACTGTCCATATGTTTTTATTCATCCCTTAAGTGAATTACAACACTGAAAAAAAATTTATAACAATGAATGTAACCATTTCAGCTAATTTAAAGACTTGTATGAGAAATTACCTTTAAAATGCCCACTAACATACTTAAAATCATTATTTGGGTTTTGGAAAAGTTCATTATTTTTCATGCTTATGAGTAGAAAGAATTAAGGATTTGGCAAACTTTTACTACTTACTTCTCTCCAAAGAATTTCCTCCAGAAATCTGCAGCATCAGCTTTGGTGATACGGAAGTTATCACCCTGGAACTGGCCATTTGGAAAAATAGCCTTGATTTCTGCTAGCATGTGGCTGAAGATGAGAGACAGCTTTGTCAAGTTTCTCCTGTGGATATAACAGAGGGGGGAAAAAAAAAATCACATCAAATCCTTAGAACTGAATAAGTTAAATCAATCTTTCAATATTTCATATGTTCTGCATATTTTTGTAATAATCACTGCGTGACACAAGAAAAACACTGAGGTTTCAACTGAAAACACAAAGAAATACAAAACAGTAGTTTGTGTTTCCATGCACTTCTGAGGAAGTATTTATCATAAGTCCTCATGAATATAAAATCATTTCTTTGGCAACAGAACAGATTTGAGTTCTCAACTGCATATTCAGATACCTTTCTTGTGCATTAAGCTTGTGTGTTTCTATTTCATTTCATCATTGCAGAACCAAGAATTTACACTAATTAGGCAGCAATACATTAAAAAAACTCTCAACCAAGCAAATAAAAACAAAACTAAAACAATCAAAAACATGCACTCAAAAAAATCAAATTAGTCTTGTATGTGACATCAAACCTATTTCAGTCCAAGTTTCTAGAAATATAAACACAGCACAGAACTAGATTTACTCCCTTGTCCTATGACAGTTTTAATCTTTTTTTTCTTTCCAGCTTTCACTAACTCCACCTACTTCCTATTCTCCTTTTAAATGTTCTCCCTTTAGTTAAAACTTGCTTTTAGTTTTCGCTAGTGTGTTATAAACAAAAATCCAGCCTCTTTGCTATCAGCTCAGTTCCATAAGCTTTCTAGACTTGTATCAGTTAATTAAAAATTATTTAGTTTTTTTGACACAGAAATCCCATTTAGTATAATGCAAAGAATCCAGAATCCTTAAATACAAATCATCCTTTTGTATGGAAAAAATCTGTGGGAGATGGTGAGGAGACAAGAGAGAAGGACAAAGCAAACTTTACGAGAATTTATGCCTGGAGAATCTTTAGATGCTCCTTGCAGTAAAAAAAAGGTATTTCCCAGCTAATACATGAAAAAGACACTACATAGGAGACTGAAGGATTTGTATTCTTTTAACGGAGTATTTTTCTGAGTTAGAAGTGGTCTACGTATGTCAAGCCCATTCTCTTTCACCATCTCAGATACTAGTTAATGCCTCAAACAATTTAATGAAAAATACATTAAAATGCATATCAATCATGTAACTTATAGACTGCTTAAAGACAGTATTTAAATAAATTCAAATTTATAAGTTCCTAATGACATGGACAGGTTAAGATAGACTGTTTTACACATGCATACCAAATAGCTTTCAGAATGCTCAAAATCTCAAAAACAGTTGAACATATTTCCTGGGGTCTTCCTAAAAGAACACTCAATTTAGCACTGAAGCAGTAATTATTTCAACTAAATCTGAGAACTCATAACAGAGATTCCTGTGGAAGCTGTGTTGCAGATTTTATTATAGGTTTTACTACCAAGAAAATAATGATAAAGATTGCTGTTTTGAAAACATAAGTAATTTAAAACAAACAAAGCAACCCCTGATGAATACACTCTCCCTCCCCTCAAGATTAAGAATGTTTGCAGGGCTAATTCATTCAGAGTCCTTTAATTCCTCCAGTATAATCAGATGTCTATAATTATGATGCTCAATAGCTCCTTATTTTCTGGATTTGTTCCTTGCTATCCCCCTTCCTCCTTCCTTTGTACTTTAATTAAACACACGTGTTCTTTATTATTTTACTCCTCAGAACTCAAGCCTGATGCAAAGGAGCAAGCAACAGCTATTTTAATGTGGCTTCCTCAGCCTGCCCTAAACCCAAGATTAAACAAGAAGCTTTCTGTACTCAGGACAGATGGGAACATGACTCAGTGCAAGTTCGAACAGAGCTCCGCCTTGACTGGTACAATTAATGCTCTACATTAACGTACTGTGCTGCAGGGGTTCCTTTCAGGTACAAATTCACCCAGTGAGCTTGTCGGACTCATGAGCCCTGTAGTGAATTAAGGGATGAAGTCACAAAGAGGTGCCATCTGGGGCACTTCCTTGCCCAGAGGGAAATATGTTTGTCTGTATGCACATGTCCATGCAGATGCACTGCCTGTTAGGTATAACTGAACAGTACATGACCAGAACCAACAGCTGGCAGGATCTGGACAGCAAATGCACAGTACAGAGAAGCATCCCAATGGTTCTATCTAAATCACAAAGCCTGTTCCTTCCCTCTTCGAACAGCACCAGTCACTAAGTGTATCAATACAATTTGTTCCATTATACAAGATCGTAAAGAAAGGAAAAAAAGTAAAATTATTTTTTGTTTGCATTTGTATAAACAAGAAAAAATGTTATAATATCAAACTAAGATACCCTCTTTTTATCTGACTGCAAAAGTGAAACTTGAAACCAACTAGAGCCTTATCTATGCTTGAACACGTATTGCACCATGTACACGCAGTAGAAAATGGCACATTCTTGATAATTTATAGGCAGGGTATCTGGTTTTTTCTCCCTAACTTTGATTCTTACTCTACCAAATGATTATCTCAAGTCCTTCTTTGGTATCAAATAGCCATGATAAATCATGTCTTAATTTTTCACTTATATATTGTTTTCTTTAGAACAGCAAAGTACACACTGAACCATTTTTGCTTAGATATGCTTATGTGATACCAGATCTCAGTACCTTCTTGAGACAAAGATACAAAGCTCAGTGATTTCAGACATGATTTTCAAGGTGCAGAGACAATGCCATTGGGGTAGGCCAGTGACTCTCCCTGTCCAGGCATTTCACTTGTCTGAAGATGTCTATCCGTTTCAGCACATGTACTTTTGAGGTCTTGGGGAGGGGGTTTCCTAGGACACCTCAGGAAGCACATACTGCACTTTATCCATTTTGCAGTCTGTGCAGTCTCATTTTTCAAGTTAGGATGACTCCCTTCTTTCCCCCCATATGAGGGATGAAGCAGTGTCAGAAATTTTCCATCTTATTTTCCACTCATAAGTGTAAGACAAGGTATTTAAGTCCCATTTATTTGAAAAAAAAAAAACCAACAAAGCAACTAAAACAATCAGCTTTGGCACTTTGGTGAAGAATTCTAACAGAAGCCAAAGAACTGTTCAATCTGAGCACCTATTTTAGATTTCATTCCTACCACCAGGCTGTAATGAAACCAATCTTAATCACCTCAGCCTGTATCTCTTGCAGTAACAAAGGCTTTTCTTCTGGTCACAGTAAAGTCTGATGAAATGGCAAAGGGACAATAGTACTGACAGGCCAGTGTCACAGAAGAGCTGAGCAGACAGATGCATGCTCCTGAGAGACCCTTTGACTCACCAGATTCCAGCAAGTGAGAGATATCTTAGGAGATCACCTTGGAGCTACAGCTCCAAAAAGTGACATCCAAATCATAGAGAAACAATGGTTTTAAGGTCTCAACAGCCAGCCTTCAGAGTCTAAAATTTTAATATAATTTCACTAGCAACTGGGAGCAAGTTAGAGGTTGAATTTTTTCCTTAGCTGTGCTAGGCCTAGAACAGAGCATAGAGATCTCCTTTTTTTCTGTAGAGAATGGATTTTATGCTGATGAGAAAAACCTTTTCTTTCCAAAATTAAAAACAAGCAACACTGCTTTATACCAAAGTGAACCGAGATGATCATTCTCCACAATGTAATAGCTACTGTAGTAAAATACAAGAATATTTTCACACTAAATGATGTTATATTAACTGCATTTTATGTAACACGGTGTAGATCTCCTCCATATTACTTGCAACATACTCAACACCTTGCAGTTGGTATTCTTCCTAGGATTCATGCTTACATTTTGTTAGCTTTGTTTTGCCAAGTCAAACTGATGCCATACAGTTCAAACCCCTTGTAGAACTTGGTTTCTGAAGTATCAGTTTTTCAGTCATAGTCTATGATTTGGTGACAAACCTGCTTGCACATGACAGATCTACTGAAGAACCAACATGGTTTGAATCAAACCCAGAACACGAGATACAAAAATTAAAACCTGAAATTTTATTTAGTATAAACTTGTAAAAGTCTACTGAGTCAGTAAAGATCTTTTGTCTAATCAGAAGATGCATTTTTTAATTACAAAATTAATGTGTCTTTTGGAGTTATACCTAATCAGTAAGATTTCTAAAATTCAGACAGTAAGACTGAAACCAAGAATTTTGAGTTTATTCACTACTCAGTAGATTTTTATATTCTGAATCAATTTTCTCTTCAAATGCAGAGAGAAGGTTAGGATGCGAAGATTTAGTAACTGAAGGACTTTTCAAATACCAGTCACATGCAATTTGAAAACGGGGCTTAATAATGGAAACATTACAACATCCCAGCCAAACCAGAGCAGCAGCACCTAGTAGAAGGTCTGAAGCAGTCCTACCCTCCTGGATCTGCTAAACAGGAAAGTGAAGCACGATCAGCATGCAATAAGACAGATAAGTTTTGTCTGTGTCAATTTTATAATCACTGTATGGAAGTTAATTCTACTTGTTGGAAGGCAATATGGCCCAGCAAACAGGACTGCACAGGGAATCAGGCAGTGTCACTTCCCTTCTGCCACTGGCCTGAATTATGAGGTGGGAGGAACACCTGAGTCCAGGCTGTACTGCCTCCGTACGTGGATGAACAGAGCAAGATGCTCAGAGAGTCCAAATTTGGAGAGCTCCAAATATGCAGCCTATACATAAATATACAAAGTAAAGTGCCCTCCCTGATCCTTCAGAATTACTGGATTCCACAGACAGTCACCAAGACAAAGTCATTTTAGCAATATATACTTGTAATTCACACAACAACTTGAAAATGCATAAACCTACTTACATGCTACAAGTGTATATCATTTCTATTTTCATGTCCGTATATTACTATGACCACAAAAAAAATTTTACAATATTTCTAGGAAAAACATAGTCTGGAAGAAAAGTCTGACTGCATGCCTTTGCAGTTATTTATGTCATTCCAAAAATTAGGTTATTGCTGGATTTCCTTCTTCATTGCTCTACTAAGTCCTTAATCTTTCTGCATCCACATAGATATACTTTGTCAAACAACCACCTGCTGTAATAAACAAAACTTT